CCCCCCCCGCCCCTGCCGAGCCCCAGCCTGGACAGGGCTGGATTGCCCCACCAGCCCTTGCACCACGGGCTCCCCACGAGGATGCCCCACCACGACAGGTGGCAGGGGCTGCTGGACACGCCGTGTCCGAGGGGTGCCCCTCATCAGGGTGTCCCCACGAGGCTGACAACCAGCGTGGGGTGGTGGGGTGGCAAGCAGAGGTATATGGCTAAACGGAGCAGGAAAGTGTTCATCAGTGGCCGTGCTCTAGCCAAGAGGCAGCAGAAAAGACTTCCCACAGCTTCCAGATGTGAGAGTCACCTCGAGCGGAAATCCAGCATCCACGACCTGTGCCACTGCAGGGCACGGGGCTGTGGTCGTTGTCACTGTGTCCCATTCCTGTGCCCAGTGCAGGCAGGACCCGGGTATGGAAGAGAGCCTCAGGCCTCCTGGGACTAGCAGAAGATGAGGGACCAGGTGGACAGAATTTTCGAAGCAAGGCCTGAGGAGGCAATTGCAGCACAAAGTAATGCTCTGGGACTGGGAGCAGGTCCCTGAACCACTCCTATCATGGATGTCTGCTTGTACCCAGACAGCGCTGGTGTTAAATGAAAGCCAAGGTCTCAGTGAAGCTAGCTGGAGGTCAGCACGCTGATGCTAGTGGGTAGGCAGGTCACTGCTCTGAGCCCTGAGCGGTCTCCATCAAGAGGTGAAGCTCGAGGGGGCTGTGGGGAGCGAGCTCTTTGGCCCTTGGGCATGGCCCCTTCCCCGCTGGGGTGTATTAGTGAGACGTGGGGGACATTCGGCTGTCTGCGCTGTATCCCCACTGATGAGCTCCCACAAGGTCAGCCAAGTGCTAAACTCACCTGCATCCTTGGAAATGGCATGAGTCAGTCTGGATCGAATTTGGGAGTTTCTCTCTCTGTGCAGTTCAAGCCAAAACTAAGCTAGTCTGACGTGTAGGGTCCCCTCTCCCCCCACAAAGCCCTGCCCATTGCAGATCTCCCCCCACCACCCTCCCGTATGGCAGGAGTCCTTCCTAACCCTGGTGTCGCTGTGAAATCTTTACCCATCCGCTCTTCTTGTGTTCCCACTTGACAGCAAACCGAGAAACCGCTTTTGTCCATGCCATCAGCTCTGCGGGCGTCATGTACACGCTGACCCGGAACTGTAGCCTGGGGGATTTTGACAACTGTGGCTGCGACGACTCCCGCAACGGGCAGCTGGGTAAGAGGAGATGAGCGGCCATCCCTCTCGCACGTCCCAGGCAGCAGGAGAAAGCTCTTCTCAAACAACTCCTCTTCCTGGCCCCAGCACCTGGAAACAGTGCCCAGAGCAAAGCTTTGCCTGGCTCACACCAAAGCAGCTCTGTGGCAGCAAGCTAATGGGGACACTGCCAATTTACACCAGCTGAGGCCAAGCCTTTGACGTTTTCCATTACTTTCTCAATGAGCAGGAAATTAGAAAGCTGTTGCAGTTTCCCCAGTTCAAACCAAACCCAAGTCTGTTTAAGCTGCTGGAGGGAATGACTGTACCGTATGGGCGGAGGAGGCGGTCTGATGCTGGGCATCTGAATGGCAGCTCTGGTTAGAGCAGTGCTGATCAGGGACAATGGGGCTCCCAGGGTGTGCAGGACCAGGACCAGGGTGGCCCTGGAGCAGGATTGCCGGGAGGAAAAGCAGAGGGGCACCCACAGACCCCCCCAGCATTTGTCAGAGTGGCAGGCACAGGAGATCACAGCTGGGAGAACCGCTATGGCAGCCCACAGCCGTCACCCCGCCCCCACCACCGCGCAGCACCCAGGCCCGCAGCTGCCAAGAACCCCAGGCTGCACCGCTCCAGCTCTCGCTCAGCTTTCACAGAAAACGTTGACATTTTGGTCTCTTGTTCTGAATGAAAAGAAGTCAAATTTCAAATTATCAAAATCTTTTAAAAGCCTTTCCCCGCCCAACCGCACTGGGCAGTCGGTACATGTCAGCTTATGACAGACTCCTCTGGAGTGTCCTGTATTTAGTAATTTGCTTTATTGGCTAATAGTTTTTAAAACACTTGCTACTTCTTAGGTGTCTGGGGCGTGGGATCGTCCATCTCTAGCAGAGCAAGACTTTTGGGCAATGGCACGCCAAATTTTATCTTCTCTGGAAAACTGAGTTAGTTGTGCTACACTTCTTTTCCCCAAACCACATCTGTTTTTCACAAAAATTTTCTGTTGTGAACTTAAAACCTTGGAAGGCAAAGGAAACTTTTGGGCTTGTCCAAAACAGTGTGATACAATTCTAAATGCAGTTAGGCTGAATCCAAGTTGGTGAAAGGTTTCCACCCTCCCTTCGGTCCCAGCTCTTGATTTGGACTTCATCGTCCACTGCAGGTACCCACCTCCCACCAGACACCCCTGCCTTTCCCTGCGAGACGGAAACGCTCTGGGGAAGTCTGGGCAAGGGCCAGGTCTTTGAGAGAGAAGAGAGGCACAAGGCCATTAAACCACCACTCCCAAGATGTGCCACTGAGGCACATTAGGGTCAGAATGTTCCAGATTTCAAATCTTCCTAAAGAATTTGGCATTTTTCTCTAGAAGCAAAAGAAGCAAATCGCGTGATGTGTTTCCAGTCAGCTGAGCCAGGTTATCGAGCTCCCACTTGGTTAGGAAAAGTACCCTCCGCATTTCGCTGTGCAGTTTCCCAGTTCTGTGCTGATGTCTTTGTTTGTTTATGATAATTGGAAAATCAGACCCTTCTGAGATGCCCAGCATCAGCCCAGGATTCTGGGTGTAGCACAAAGAGGGCCTCCTCGATACACAGGTGCCCGACTTGGGTTATGTCCCAGCGGAGGGGAATCTGCTCCCTCTGACCAGGACGTCTCCACCGGTTCGCTAACCCACGTTAGCAAGATTCTGTCTCCACAAGTCAGTCTGAACCAATTCCAGCCAGGGTTTGAGGGAAAGTGATTAAAGACCCAAAGCCTCATCTATATGACTGCAAGTGCATGATAATTAACAGCTTCTGAATCCTGCTCTATAGAAAGCCTGGAAATCCCTGGGCTTGTCGCACAGGATGTACCCATTCACTGCCCACATGAGCCACTTACTGTCCAGGCCGTGGTGGAAGTGGCATGAGCCCAAGGGGAGGGAATCTGGGAATATGGTGAGGCGAAAGGCTGGGTTCGCCCCACAGACTCCGCTTCCTCCCGTCACATCCGAGACCCTTGTCTTATCCCCGGAGCCACAAGCCAGGCAGGCAAGGGGCTGAGTCCCCGGCAGTGTGCATCTTATCTCCTTTCCTAGGGGGGCAAGGCTGGCTGTGGGGAGGCTGCAGCGACAATGTGGGCTTTGGGGAAGCCATTTCCAAGCAGTTTGTGGATGCCCTGGAGACTGGACAAGATGCCAGACCTGCCATGAACCTGCACAACAACGAGGCGGGTAGAAAGGTGAGCCCCTCTTT